TTCCTCCCGACATTCGCTTTTGCGGTCACGCGTCGGGAAGACGCGAAGCGAACCTCACCAAGCTAGAGGACAGGAGCACACTCATGGTGTTCCTGGGCTACGTGGAGGGTACCAAGGCGTACCGGCTCTATGACCCACGCAGAGACAAGGTGCTTGTCTCACGTGACATCGTGTTCGACGAGGAGGCAGCTTGGGACTGGAGCAGTCCGAGCACGAGGGAAGCTGGCAACTTCACCAGTACCTTTGTCGTCGAGCACTTGGTCATCCACGGTGGTGGAGACGCTGGGGAACAGGTGCCGAGCACTCCGGAAGGAGTGTCGAGCACTCCGTCGGTAGAGCCGAGCACTCATGGGGCAGTGCCGAGCACTTCGGGGGGGATGCCAAACACTCCGAGAGGAGTGCTAAGCACTCCTAGAGGGATACCGAGCATGCCAGGAGTGGTGCCAGGAGGTTCTGTAGTTGCGGCGACCACTTGAAAAGTCCTAATATGGCTAGAGGGAGGGTGAATAGCCTATTTAAAAATCTACAAATCAACTAGAGCAATTTGATTAGTATGACAAATAGCGTAATGCAAACTTGCTCTAGCTCTACAAGGGTTGCAAGCCACCTATCCAACAATTCTAGTTGCAATGAATACTTAGGCACACAAACTAGCTATGTAATTACTCACTAAGAGCTCTCAACCTTGCTACTCTAAAGAGATCAACTAGATGAATGTAAATAATAAAGCAAGCTCTCAATTCTAATTACATTAAAGAGCTTGTATCAACTAGTTTGCAAGAATGTAAATGAGTGAGTAGAGTGATTATACCGACGTGTAGGGGATGAACCAATCACAAGATGAATATATAGCCAATCACCGGGAGAATGACAAAGAAGAGAGACAATCGATTTTCTCCCGAGGTTCACGTGCTTGCCAACACGCTACGTCCCGTTAGGTCGACCAACACTTGGTGGTTCATGACTAAGAGGTGTTTCACAAACCTCGTCCACACGATTGGACACCACAAGAACCGACCCACAAGTGAGGTAACTCAATGACACGAGCAATTTACTAGAGTTACCTTTCAAGCTCCGCGCGGAAGGTACAACTCCCTCACAATCACCGGAAGGCGGCCAACGAACAATCACCAACTCGTGCCGATCCTTCACCGGAGCTGCTCCAACCGTCTAGGTGGTGGCAACCACCAAGAGAAACAAGCGAAATCCATGGTGCAAAACACGAATATCAAGTGCCACTAGATGCAATCACTCAAGCGGTGCACTTGGATTCTCTCTCAATCTCACAATGATGATGGATCAATGATGAAGATGAGTGGGAGAACTTTGGCTAAGCTCACAAGGTTGCTATGTCAATGAAAATGTGCAAGAGGGTGAGCTTGAGCGGCCATGGGGCTATAAATAGAGCCCAGATCAAATAGAGTCGTTATACCCTTCACCGGGCAAAACGTGCTCGATCGGACGCTCGGTCAAACCGACCGGACGGTGGCCCTCGGCGTCCGCTCGCCGATGATGCATCTGGCACGCGTCACCACCTTCAAACTTTCAAACGTTCATCGATTTCAACGGCTCTGGCGTCGACCAAGACGCTCAAGTCAAAAACCGACCGAGACGACAAGAAGCCCCATGCGTCCGGTCGTTCAATAAGCTCCCGAGGCATGTTTTTTCGACCGGGACGATCCGGTCCACCTTGACCGGACGCGGACCATACTCGTCCGATGCTCAACCTTACCCATCGTATGGTTGCTCGATTTCCGCCGACGGACGCAGCCTTTCGGCCATCCGGTCATTGAGTGACTCAAATATCCGGTCGATGAGAGAGACGACATCATTCGACCAACTCCCATTTCAACTCTAACTTCTTCACCCTTGCTCAAATGTGCCAACCACCAAGAATTTTACATCCGGCGCAATAGAAAATAGACATTTCATTTTTCCAAAAGCGCGAATCCCATCTCAACCACCGCAAACACCTTGTGCACATGTGTTAGCATATTTTCACAAATATTTTCAAGGGTGTTAGCACTCCACTAGATCCTAAATGCATATGCAATGAGTTAGAGCATCTAGTGGCACTTTGATAACCGTATATTCGATCGACGAGTTACACTCCTCTTAATAGTACGTGGCTATCTATCCTAAATGTGATCACACTCACTAAGTGTCTTGATCACTAAAACAAAATGGCTCCTACATTTTATACCTTTGCCTTGAGCCTTTTGTTTTTCTCTTTCTTCTTTTCCAAGTTCAAGCATTTGATCATCTCCATGCTATCACCATTGTCATGATCTTCGTCATTGCTTCATCACTTGGAGTAGTGCTACCTATCTCATAATCATCTTGATAAACTAGGTTAGCACTTAGGGTTTCATCAATTAACCAAAACCAAACTAGAGCTTTCACCACTATAGAATGGGTGCCGAGCACTCCCGTGGTGGAGCCAAGATGTCTTGCAGTGGTGCCGACCACTCCAAGACTGAGGCTGAGCACTCCTACAGTATGGCCGAACACTGCAGGAGTAATGTCGAGCTATCCAGAAATAGTGCCGAGCACTGCAACCAGGGTGCCGAGCACTCCGGCGGAACAGGGAACTCCATCGACACCGATCGAGTTTGCCTCACCTCCAAGTGACATCACTGAGTTCGTGAACGCCTACCGCGAATGTGAGGAGGTGCGGTTCTATAGGCTGGACGACATCATCGGCGGCACAGGGCCCTCAGGCCTACCTGGTTGGCTACTCAATGACACAGAGCTACTACTCGTCAGTGTTGAGGAACCACCCACGTTCGCGCTGCCCGAGCGCGATGGAAACTGGTGACGGTGATGTTGGAGGAGATGAAGGCGATCGAGGAAAATGAGACTTGGTAGCTCATCGATCCACCTCCAAGATGCCATCCGATCAGCGTGAAGTGGGTGTACAAGGTCAAATGGGACAAGCTTGGAGCCATTGTCAAGCACAAGGCCTCGCTTGAGGCTCTATTCAGCGCGAGGGCATATACTTCGATGAGGTCTTTGCGTCAGTAGCGTGCATGGAGTTGGTCCATTTGCTACTAGCCTTGGCAGCAGCAAAGGACTAGCGCGTCCATCACTTGGATGTTAAATCGGCCTTCCTCAATGGTGAACTAGCGGAGACGGTCTTCGTCAGGCAACCTCCAGGTTTTGCGGTTAAGAGAGAGGAGCACATGGTGCTCCGACTGCGCAAAGCGCTCTACGGGCTGCGGCAGGCCCCACGAGCATGGAATGCCAAGCTTGACGCCACGCTGGGCGAGCTTGGGTTTCAGAGGTGCGCAATCGAGCACGCGCTTTACACGTGGCGACGGGGGAAGGAGGAGCTCATCATCGGCGTATATGTGGATGACTTAATCATCACCGACGCGCGCACGGAGAACATCAACAGCTTCAAACGCGAGATGGCGGCTTGTTTTCAAATGAGCGATCTCGGCGCACTCTCCTACTACCTCGGCATCGAGGTGAGACAGGGGAAGGAGGAAGTCACGCTCGGTCAGAACGCGTATGCCTCTAAGCTGTTGGAGCGGAGCGGCATGGCTGAGTGCAAGCCATGCGTAACTCCGATGGAGGAGCGGCTGAAACTGACGAAGACCATCACCGCGGCGAAGGTGGATACAACACTCTACCGGAGCATCGTCGGCGGTCTACGCTACCTAGTCCACACGAGGCCGGACATTACGTTCGCCGTGGGCTACGTCAGTCGCTTCATGAAAGATCCCAGAGAGGATCACTGGGCTACAGTGAAGCGGCTACTGCGCTACGTCAAAGGAATAGTGGATCAGGGGATCATCTTTCCCAAAACCGATGGGAGTAGGTTGTAGCTCACTGTGTTCAGCGATACAGACATGGCAGGGGACATCGATGGACGACGGAGCACCTTTGACGTGCTCATTTTCCTCGGGTCGGCCCCAATTTCATGGTTGTCGCTAAAACAGAAGGTGGTGGCGCTATCTACGTGCGGCGAGGCGTGTACGAGCGCGGCGCCACAATGGCGTGCGTTGTTATGTGGTGCTGCTGCCCGTTCTTTGGGCGAGCTGATCGGTGTGGAAGCTCACCCACCAGCACTGATGGTGAAAAACCAGCCCGCCCTCGCCGTCGCGAAGAATCCGGTTCTGCACAACCGGAGTAAACACATCGACGTAAAGTTCCACTTCCTCGTGGATCGTGGTCGATGGAGGGCGATCATCATCGAGTTAAATCGTCCGAACGGTCGACAACTCATGGACGTCCTCACCAAATTGCTCGGGACGTCTTCAACTCACGGAGTCAAGGAGATGATCGGCATGGAGGGGGGTACAAGGGTTAGCGATGATTAGGAAAAGATTGTTAGATAATCTCATCGCTACCTTGTGTGAACACAAAGAAGGGAAGACGCGGCACCAAAAAGGCCACCGCTTTGTGACACTCAGAGTCAGCCAGAGGTGCAAAGCGCCGCATGGCTCACCTACAAAGACCTTTGTAGGCACATGCAGAGCCGTAGCAGAGTCAGCCACATATGTTATCTAGTAATCATGCTAAAAGAGGGCAGTTTATCTTTGGAACTAGATGGATAGAGTTGTATAAATAGACTACCACGGCAACTCAGTAAAGAGAGTTCAGATTTGTCATCTCCCAGACAAGGCTTCGGCCAACGCTGGTGTCTTGTACTGTGTGTATGTTCTGTTCTCCTTTCTTCTTCTAGCTCTAGCCATAGTGGGTGGGACGGACAACGCTTGTTCATGGACGGCACGGCTAGTGGATGCTCGACAACACTAGCGGATGCTCGGCAAGACCAATAAATGGTTCACTCACCTGAGCCGATGGTCCTGTGGGCCAACACTCCTTGCCTGATTTGTTGCCTAGTTTGGACTTCTCGCAATGAGCCGATGGTGCCGGACGACGCATGATCAAACACGCTGTAGATTGATTTAACTCATTAACTTGTTGTAGCTTGAGACAGCGAATTGATGTATCCGTCGATTTTTTGCTTTGGAGGATTCTTGGATTCGTAGGTAGGTACTGCCTTTTTTTATGTTTTTGTGAAACTGAGTTTGTACCGCCTTGATAGTACTGGTTTAACCTTCTTGACGGGGACGGGGACGGGGGAGGAACTTCCCCCGTTGGCATTCACGGGGATGGGGATGGGAAAAATTTTGCCCCGCGGGGACGGGGATGGGAAGCTGTCCCACGATAGGGAATTCCCCGTTGACATCTTGATCAACAGGCTTCGAAGCGATCCTTGCATCTGTTGGGGCGGACTTTTGTACTATAGAGCTAATCCAAAGCAATTATCGCCCGATTAAGTGATTAGTTAAGAGGCTTGAGGCGAAGAGAACTGTATTCCTAAAGGGAGGCACTAGTGCCCGGATGTCCGGCACCAGTAGCGCGTCTGGACACAACTCCCCACACGTGCGGTACGATCCACAGGAGCCCGTCCGATACGAGCAACTCGCCCCAGCCTTCTCACAGCGCGCTCATCCACAAATACAGCGCGTGCCGGCCCCTAGCCCGCCCCGTCCGCAGCCCCCAGGGTGCCATGCGCCCCTCCCCGTAGGTCCCCTCGGCTCGCCGCGCCCATCCCCTGGCGCCCGGGCCTTGTCCCATGACTCTCTGAATAACGTATCTCTGAAACACGAAACACTTGCGACATGAAAACACTTAAATGCTACATACGTCTGAAGGAGATGAAATATTTGGAACACACACATGCTGCATCCAGATTAAGCACTTGCAACTTCCAACATGAAAACACTTACTGCAACATAAGACTGAAACAACTGAAATATTTGGAACATATTGTTGCAGCATATGTGTGAAACATATGCAACATTCAGATCAGAGCGCTTGCAACATAAGTCTGGAACAGATGAAATATTTTGAACAAACGCTTGCAACATGCCTCTGAAACACTTGCAACATGTGCAAACATTCTCAATCTACTTTTGCAACATCCATATGAAACAATTCCAACATACATCTGAAACGTTTGAAACACTTAAAACATGCATTTGCAACATAGGGAAGGGGAGGCCTGGGCCGGTCGATTTTGGCCGCCGGGGTGGGAGCCGGCGGCGAGCGGCGGTGCGCGACCACCACCAACATCTGGTCGCGCTCGTGGGTGCCCTAGGCTCGGCCGGGACAACCCGAGGCGCACCAGCACGTGCGCCCAATGGCCATCAGCAGGGGCGGCGGTGAGGCACCCGGCGAGCGTTGTGGGTTGGGGAAGAGGCCGGGGAGGCGCTCTCAGCAGACGCGAGATAGAGAGCGAAAGATAGAGAGAGCAGAGGTAGCGCGCGGGATGGGGGCGCGGCAAGGCATGGCCGCAGCGGGCAGGCCACACGACCGGCGGGCTACGTGACATGTGGGTCAAATCCGCGCGAACCGAGAGCACGATGGCGATGGGCAGGGTGAGCGACGGGAAGGAGCAACTATCACGGACAAGCGTGTCGCTGGCGGGAGCGAGCAGCAAGGGCCGAAGCAGCTAGGTGAAGTGTGGCACTTGCGTTTGGATGGGATGGAGGCCCGCAACCTATCATTATGGATTCCTAAAAATTATTATTATTGTCTCGAGAGTCGAGAGACCTTATCAGTGCTGCTTGCAAGCAGCCATTGTGTCAGCCCTTGCCCCAACTCCACACTCGTGTGATTTGGCGAAAACCTCTGCCGTGGAGCCCCAATCTTTTAGGCTTAGCAGGGTCCTACACACACACACCATGGGCGGCAGTACTGCCCGGACGGGCACAAGCGCACAGCGGCAAGACTAGGATGTTCCTAGCTAGTCTGCCTCCGGGTCAGGACGCCCAACACCGCCCGCACAGTTGCAGAGCATGGTGACTGACTGAAGACTGGCTCACGAGCTCCCACCGCAGAGCTAGATTTCGACGGCTTGCGATAGTTCACACTTCACAGAGAACCGAGCTGACCCACTGTATAATAATGCTAACACCGCATAGTAGCCAACGATTATGCACAGTTTTCACATAACTGCTACGGGGTTCAAAGCTCTACAAAAACCTTAGCATCGACAAAGCTAACATACATGTAGCACACAATTGTCATGATGCTTCGATGGTTGTTTCCTTGGGCAAAGTTACAACAATCATAGTGTCCGCTGGAACAGGGGGGATTCCTACCATGCCACATGTATCAGATGTGGGAGGAAGGATGAATAGTATCCTCGTCCACATGGCCTTCACAGCAGGAATCCTAATCACGCCAGCGCAGTCTTTCTGTACCAGATAGCTTATGAAATCCCGGAACTGCAAGATACACAACACTCCAGTTAACTACTTGGCCATTAGTTATCAAGAACATAACACTGAAATCTAGTTTCCATATGATCTCAGACAACCAGGTTTCCAGGCTTGATTAAATGACGATAGTATTGCTGTCATGGAACACAGGCAGAGATAAAATGCCATACAACTGTAGTCTACTGAACTATTAACTTACACAAACACAAAACACCTACAAACTCAAAATTACATGGTCACAATTGACAATTTCAGCAAAGAATTTTCTGCCACAAATGCCAAATTCATTCAGTTTTCCCCACTTATGAAATCACAACAGAAGGCCTCTTTTGCTTGCCCTAGATTTTGTTGTTTTAAACTCTCTTTCCCTCTAAATTGAAAGGCAGAGTTCCTGCCATAATGATTTCATTTGCTGTTTGCTTAAGGTCTAGTGCAAGATTAATGTAATCACATATGCACAACAACTAAAGATAGTTTAGAAGTATCGGATGACTCATTCATTGCAATAGATACATAAAACAGAGAAAATGTAATTTAGTTGCCATTATTGATAAGATCATACCCCTCTCTGATCACCATTTGAACAAGGCACGAGCCGGCAAACTTCTCTCTGCAAAGTGAGGGAAAATCATTTTTCCAACATCAGAAAGCACAAGTGGATTTTCCTATAAAATTTGACATCTACCCTTAACATATTAAACTCATTCCTAATTAATAGTTAAAACAACCATGTCTATTACTCCGAACCAAGTTACAGTTACAGTATGTTTAAGCTGAGACCCAATATGAGTCACCAGTAGGGCGGGGCTCCTTTTCCCTAATGTAAAACCCAGTACTCCAATGGAGATGAAACCCAAGAGAAAATCCATTCTTGCTTAAACCAAGAAATCGAACAAAAGATAAATCCTCAGGTGACATATAACTCTAAAACAACTGGCATAATGAACTACAGAATATTGTCTTTATGCTAGTACATCAATGTTTACAAGTCGTCCGACTCTGATCGGTCCCTGGAGGTCGACTAGGGACACCGACGCGATTAGCTCGATCAGAAACCTAGTCGCCCGACTAATCATTGCTTAATTGCGATTAGTCGTCCGACTAGGAGGGGGATGACCAGGCTGGGAGCTGTGTTTTTCGCGGGCCTGTTTAGCTGGGCTTAGATTTGGGCATTGGGCTGCCAAATTAGCCCATTTGGGTTACAATAGAAGAGCCTCACCCCACCAAAACGCGGGAGGCGCACTGGAATCCTTCCCCCGCGCCGCCGCAATTTCTCCCGTGCACGATTCCTTTCCTCCCGCAAGTGATTACTCCCCTGCGCGCGCTATTCCTTCTCTCCCGCGCATCGTTCCTCATCTCCCGCCAACGCTGCCTCTGGCGTCCCTCACCGCCTCGGATTCGTGGCGCGCTCCGCATCTCCCAGCGCCGTGCGCTCCGCCCCTCTTCATCATAAGCTCCTCCTCCGATGGTGACTGCCCTTTCCCTCCTCCATCTTCTTCCCTCTTACCCCATCCCTCGCTCTGCAACTCCTTTGCTAGTCTGCTTGCTTGCTAGTTCGCCATCCTTGGATGTTGTACTGCTGTTGAAATACATACTATATATATATATATATATATAGTATGTATATATCTTGAAATATATAGGATGACTATATGGATGACTAGGGTCGACCAGGCTCGACTAATCGGCCTGGTCGACGACTAATCGCGATTAATCGTCTGGTCGGTCCCATGGCGACTAGGTTCGACTAGACGACTTGTAAACATTGTAGTACGTTGACTGAACGGTAAGTGAGCACTAAGTAGTTTGGCTTAAATCAGGAAATAGGTACCATGTCTTACAAATAACAAATTTATTAGCATCAGGTATCATCGTATTCTGAAACCAATGTTGTCATAGCAATATAACATATTAGTATACATGCAAGTAAACTTTAGAAGCTTTAATCACTAATATACACAAAAGCACTTAACTTTGCCACGAAGACATGTTATTCTTATATTTTTCAATAAAAGTATTTTAGTTAGTTCTAGTTTAAAACCTTAGTCTACATACAGAAAAAGTAATTAAAGGTGGTAGTGGAGACCTTGTCAGTGTGCAAAGATACTAGCGAAAAAAAAATGAGGGAATAATGTCCATTAGAAATTTCCTGTCCAACTATTACAACCCCCACCCTCTAACAGCACTATTTGAGTATTAACAAGAAGCTCAGAGAGGGCCCTTTACATGTATTGCTCCATCTACCCTTTTTTGTATAAAATAGTGAGCTGAACCAGGTGTCAAAAGATGCAATTTATAAGGCAACAAGTTCAGTGATGAGCTTTTATTCGCCAAATCATCCATCAAGAAATCCAACAAAAGCTAGATTAAAACATACAGGTGTCTGAATGGTCCATAATTAGCTATCAAGACATGGAGCATGAAAACAACTATAGCTTTGCATCAGCAATCTCATAATAGTTTCAATTCAAAATTTGCGTTCAATTCTGACTAGAGAAACAAAGATTTAACTAGATCAATTTCAGCGCCATCATCTGGAAGTAAACGAAATAACTTGATATCCATTATGCAAATAAAACATATAACAGATTTACCAACACCAGTTTTAAGTAGGAGTATCTAAGCACCAAAATCATATTTTTCAAGTAACATGGTTCTTAATTCAGAATGTTATTCAGGTACACTTTACATGGTATGTGAAATTCGTGCGTTAAGTTCTCATGAACAGAACACCCTTTCCCATTTCATCAAGATAACACAAATGTCAAAACTATACTAGGCTGCAAATATTTCTGAAATGTGATATGACCTTATATAACCTTACCTTATTAGGTGGTGTATTGTTGAAAGTTGTCTTCACATGCTGGAAAGCTGAGCGCTTTGTCACATCTAGCTCTGAAGGCCATCTGAAATGTCGAAGCGAAATGATTTTAAGAAAACTTCTATATTCATACTGCAGATTATATATTAGTATTGAGCATTAATATATGCAACTCTTACTCTGCTGGTTCAGAAACAGAATTTTCATATCTGCAGGTATCCAACTCTATTCTGCTTGCATAGATTCTGCAATAATGCATGCCACTTTTTAAAAGAGGACCCTGCCATTGAGGGTGAGAACTTGACTTTTGCGAGTCAGATGAATCAGCAATAGGTTGCGGCGGAGGAGAATTTGGGGGTGGCGGCACTAAAGGTGGCTGGAAAATAGGTAGTGGCGGTGGGGGTGGAGGTGGCATATCTAGAGGTGTAAATGGTGGGGGAGCTATAGTTGGCAGAGGTAGTGACGGTGGCATTTTCTCAGAATGCTGTGCTGAACCTCCAGGAAGCTGTGGAAGAGGGGTAACACAAGAGGGTATGAAAGGAAGAGAAGCTGGATTAACACGGAAGCTACTTCCAGGCATCATGCGGGGAGAAACATGGCTGAAGGGCGGTGGATTTGGAGTAGTGTTCTCCCAGGGACTCCCTGGACCAGGATATATAGGACGAACAAAAGAGGTTTGAATAGGTGGCGGTGGTATTACAGAACCATGGTGTGTGGAAACAGGTGGGCAAGGAAAAATTCCTTGTGGAGCTCTGCTTGTATTTGGAGGTGGCGGACCTGCACATCAAGGAACACATTGTTATATTGGAAACTTATCATGTACAAGCTCGCATTCTGTTCCACTAATCAAATACTAGACTTACCATAAATAGGTCGATCCCCTGGTGCTGCATATCCTGCATGATATCCTGGAACTCTTGGATTCCTGCATGCGTTCCAAAGTGGAATGAGTATGTTAAGTAACAAGAAAGTTTACCCTTGTGGCATGTAAAAGATGTAGCAAATTACATAATGTGGTGTCAGCAGCTACCATAATGTGGTGACCAGCAGCTGTTGCAGAAAGCAACTAAAATAAAAAAGGCCTGACATTATGGTTTCGGTCTCAAGCAAGCAAGGAATGCAGTCCACAATTTTTTATGGCAATATATGGAATTAATTGTCAGTTAAACTTAGGCATCAAATATTCTCCATGGAAATTTTAGTTTTGTTTAGATTGTCTTCATGCAAATTTGCAGAGTGTGGTATTTTATTTCTCCATGGAAAAGTATCTAAATTACATTCATTACATTCATATTTGTGTTTTAGGATGTGGATGCAGCCTAAAAGATGAAAACAAGGACATAGAGGGAGGTGACAATGATGATAGCAACTAGAGGAAGATTACAATACTCTGCGGAACATGACTGAAGATGCCTAGAGAACCATATGACTAAAGATGCCTAGAGAACCATATGATAGGAGCCGAGCCTTAGTATGTGTGGTGTTTCAGAAATATATGAAGGAAATGACAATTGCTTGTGGCTACATTCTAAGGGAAAATACAACAGAGCTTTCTACTATTTATTACATACTTGATATATACTCAAGGTTTACGTGTACTTTGGAGTGTAGTTTTCAACACAATTGTTTGCAATGATACTTATGTAAAATTAATGCTTCTATGTCTTATACTGTGGCCCAAAACAATATGTTTTTCATTCTTCTTTTATTGCATGGAAATTATTCAGCTCCCATTGCAACGCACGGGCATAAACCAAGTAAAAGAATTAAGGGGAAAAGAGGTTCAGCTGACCTGATCTCATGGTGCGCGCTGTTGTCAGGAACACTCTGGCCTAACAACGGAGCGACAGGTGGCGCTGTTTTATCATGAACAGATCCTGCACTGCATGTCCTTAATTCAACACTAAGTGACTTCAACCCAAATCGTGCTCCATGTAAGTGTGATTTTGCACGGGCAGCGGCATCTTGTGATCTATAAACTATAAAGCAGCTGCTATCAGACCTATTGAATTGGTTCCTGATGACCTCACCGAATTGAGAGAAGGCATTGATTAAGTCGATGTCAGGGACTGAGTGGTCTATATTTTGCACCAAAAGCTGATGACCAGGTGGATTCATATCCCTGGAACAAACATCTGGAGGAGCTTGGTGCCTAATATAGAATTTCGCAGTAGCTGCATCAACTGCCGTCTCAAATTCAAGAAGCAAAGCATTTTCACCAGAGATATCAGTAATCCCAGATGGCCACTTCAGCCCTGCCATCTTTAACTCATCAAAAACCTCATCTTTGTCTTTTTTATTCTTGACTTTAGCAACATAAATATGACGGCTGTCACCAATAGTTATACCACGAATAAATCCCTTACTACCTATAAGCCTGTCTAAATACCTTATTTGAAGAAAACCTCCCCAAATAGATGAACCCTGCATATATCCACATGCATGCACAGCATGTAATATGTTTCTATACTCAACTAAGGAAAATTTTTTGGATGGATAGAACAAAAAATTTACTAATGGGCCAAACTCCTCAAACTTGGATCTGACCAGTGACTCCGTAGCTCTATTTCCCAGTGAACCAACCCAAAGTTCCTTTGAAACTGAAATCACATCCCTTGCAACATAAGTGCCATAAATATCAAATGGTTCAGAAAATAAATGCTTTGCCCTTCCAAAATGTTGTCCTGGAGAAGTAAGTGATGTAGATCCTCCAGCAGGATCATACACGGATTTTGGCATAAGCAGATCCGGTCTTGTACCTTGATGCCGTGCATCAGAGACAACAGTACGTCCTTTGAAGTCATTCAATTTTGCATCTGTGAGCACATCAGATTTCTGATTATCAGAACGAACCATGTCCACATTCATGTTCTGTGAAGACTTATTTCCATAATTATTGACACACTCAGTTTTTGCAAGTGCTCCCTGCTCAGACGAAGAAAGTAGTTCATCTGGTCGCATATTTTCTCTGACGTTGTTGTCAAGTTTCTCCAGCACTGATGATTCATTGTCTGTGTGACTTTTATCCTCAGAAGGTTCTGACAAAGAGCCCAGAACTTTCAAACAAGATGACACCTCAGAAACCACAGCAGGTTTACAAGAATCACATAATTTCTTGTACCTTGATAATATCCAACGTCTCAGAGATGGATGCCTAGAGATGGCCTGCAAATTTAACTTAGTAAGATTGTAAGAAACAAATAAGAAAAATGGATGGAAAAAATGAAGAGGAAGTTATACAGCAGATTTTTTTTAAGACAAAGTTAAGTGCAAAATTACAAAGAAGTTCCTAGATATCAAACTTTCTGAGTCAATTTTAACTTTAAGTGCAAGTAAAACCTTGTGATGCATAACTAGAATATAAACAACAGATCCCTAATCATTTACAAATTGTTCTTAGCAGTTAAATAGGGTATGCTATAACCATCATTGTCTTCCTACAGTTAGAAGGTGAAAGTTCAGCATCAATAGAAAATGATCCATACCATTGTGATGTAACACTCATTTGACTCCATAGCATTTTCCGAAACAACAGGATTTGAATCAACAATTTTATTGGTGCCGGACAGATTTCCTTCCATCACAAGACACTGCTCATCAATCTTATCACCCATAGCAACATTTGCAGCATTACAGGTCAGATGACAGGTCAACTGATTTAAAAGGTATAACCCTTCTCCTTTTACATCATCACATTCTGCAGAAGCAAGCAGCGTAAAACAGGCTTCTAGTATATTCTCTGGGAACAAAAGGAATGTGCAAAGCAAGCAAATAGCTCCCAGTTCAGATAAATTATCAATTGTTGGTTGCTTAGCATTGTCCAACTCCAATTTTAAAGTTTCTAATAACGTCACAGGGTCCTGAAGCATTGCATGTTTTGTATAGATCATATGATAGATATCCTTCCCCTCCAAGGTTGAAATAAAGAACGAGAGAACAGTTCTATAAACGACGGAGCAGATTCCTTTCATAACAGATGACTTGAGTTCTTCAGAAGATGCTGCAGAGCATATGTGAGTTAAGCCAATGATACATGCTTTAGCTGTCTTGTATGGCACACCTTTCAAATCATCCCCTCTCTTTACAGTGGCCATGTTGCATTTGTACATGTTGATGGTAACTTTAGTTGCCGCCTCGAGTGCAGTAGGACAGCGTGAGGCAAATCGAGGGACTGGCAAAGATAGAAAACATTGTACGCTTTCACAACCTGTATGGATGAACAAGGAAAAAGATAAGGATGGTTTGTAAACATGGAAGAGACTGATTCTTTACCAAAATAACAGCCTTAAGCTGTGCAAATAAAGTCCCGTTGTACTCCAGAAGTTTTAGCCATTAATAGCGCTCTGTTAGTTAATAAAGTTAAGCCAAAAGAAAAAGATAACACCTTTAAATCTGACACATTATGAGCAAAAGCTGTAACAAATAATAAATTGGCAGATAAACTCCTAACTCTTTTAAGATTGTGCAATTCTTGGATTTATTCACCTTCCCATCTCTTGGAAAATTTTCTCCTCACTATTTGCTAAACAAACTGGTCACAAAACATGGAGAAGCATAATTGCTAAAGAGAAAATTAGGACATCTGTAGTGAAGTAAGCTTTTAGGATCAAGTTTTATAGTTCCACGGATAATGGATAATTTAATCATGAATAACACTTTGTCTTACCTTAAAGATATATAACAAACAACATATCCGAATTTCAACAAGCTCGTTTTGATTTCGATCAATGATGTGGTAGTACTTGAAACAACTTCCGAATTGTAGTTACTAGCACAGAAATTTCATGCAGAATTTATCATTATTGGTAATGTCATTACGGTGTACTTAAAACAACATTCACTACAGATAAGACACGGACTAATGGAATGCATAGCCAGATAAGTTAATAGAAGATCAACAAACTCTTGTCGGTTGCAAATCAACCAAAGGAAGTTAGCGAAAATGAACTAGTTACTGCATGAAATCCATGTGAAGCGGTAATTCTTATGTCAAGTTACATGATTCCATTCGTTTAGATCTGAATTCACAGTCTATCTATTAAACATTCCTAAAACCCGGCATACGTTTTCCCTCTCCTAGTATAGTATAAACTATTGCAGCAACAAACAAACGTACTCTTGAATGTGGGGCCGATTCAAGCCTACATACTTACACAGGCTATAGCAAATCACGACATCAAGTAACAACGAATGTAATGCCAGTTTTGTTGTATGTCATCACGACAGAGAGAAGGGGGAGTTTAGCCACCTCGGGAGGCGGAGATGAGATAGAGATAATCCTGCTCCAGCTCGGGCGTGAGGCCGCCGTCTTTGTGCTCCTGTATGTACTTGCGGATACGGTTGTAGCGCTGGAAGACATTTCTCAGTTCCTCCTGGTTGCGGAGCTTTTGAAGCCTCACCTCCTCCGGCGACTGGGATGCCGTTTCCGTCGGAGGTGGGGAGGAGGTTGAAGGCGCCACAGCACCTAGGGTTTCGGGAGGCGGCGGAGCAGGGGAAGGAAGCCGCGCGGGTGCCGGATTGGAGGAGGAGGGGCTTGGTTCCTGGGCGTCGGCGACCTTACGTTTCTTCGGCTGCGGATCCGCCGCCGGCGACGCCATGATCGGCCTGCCACGGGGAGAATTTGACGACGGTTCGGCCACAGCCGATTGGCGTTTCTCGACAGCGCTTCCCTGGGTTAGTATTCTGCGGCGGTTTTGTGAACTGTGGGCCTTTTTTTTTTTTTTTTTTTGCTTGAAAATAAAAAAAAAAGTACGCAAACTTCGTGTGGCTGGCTGACGGGTAAGACCTTAGACCTTACCGCTGCAAGAGTGGTTGGCCTCCTGAAGTCTCGGCACCGTGTAGCGTGGACATCGACTATGTGCGTGAGGTTCTCTACATGCCCGTAGAACGCGACAGAAAAGGTAACGACGCTTAATGGCGTCGATGCCGACGGTGGCGGCCAATCCACCGATGGATCAACAGTTGTGCTTTCGGATACGCCGATAGTGACTATCGGTGCTGTGGTTGGCGGCGTCATCGATAGATCAGCAACGATATGTGTTGATATGATGGTAGACACAAAGCAGGAGAAATTGTTTGTATGATGTTCAGGTGTTTCATCCAACTAAACACCAGAGTTTGTCATCGAATGATCAAAATCTAACGGCTAGAGTGCCTCTTCTACCTCTAGCCAAATGGCTTTCCCCAATCTCCGTTCTCCACTATTATCACAACATTCTAGCCCCATTCCTCCATGACATCGAGCTAAAGCATGACATGACTCGTCTACGCAAGTTTTCTTTTTTTTATCTTTGGCATTTTTATGCCCCTAGATCCACAGCCTCTTCCTACCACAACACTAATCGGAGTCGTCCAACAGGCTTCCTTCTCACTACTCGGTCGACAGCGACGTTGCTCCCACGCCCACACCATCACCGATCTAGTCTTTCGCTCTTAGAGTTCCAAAAATCCCTTCTAAATCCTCCGAATTCTAACAAACCACCAAAGTCCAGACCCTGAGCCCTAACTTCGCGGAGCCTTACCTTTTCCTTCCCTAACCTCCCCAGATATGGAGAAGGATTGGGGGAGGGACGAATAGAAAGGTAATAAAGGGTGTGTTTGGTTGAGCTGTGGCTGTGGGAAAAAACTGTTGTGGGCTGTGAGCTGTGAAAAAGCTGCTGTGGGTTGTGAGTTGTAGAAAAGCTGAAAGCTGTTTGGTTAAACAAGTATAAAATATACCTTCTATCTTTATCTATCTTAAAACAACTATGGAAGAGCTTTTTATTCCACCAATTTCGAAAAGCAGAAAGCCAAAAACCAAAAACAAGGTCAAACCAGCTTTCAAAAATATACTACAAAAAAACAGCTGCTTCTGAAAAAGCAGCCTTCAAAAACAGCCCATTTGATTGGGCTTTTGGCTTTTGGGGCCAAAAGCCAAAACCTAAAGCCCAACCAAACATACCCAAAATCTTGCGCCGCTCCCTACAAGCCCCGCGAAGACGAAGAGCAGAGAAAACGAAATGGAAAACTAAAAGAATAACCAGAGCGGCGGCACAGGACTAGAGAGGGCTATTTATTAAGGCAAGGATCGAGAATTAGGGTTTTAATAGCATTTTGGTCCGTCTGATCTTTGATCCACGGTTTAATTAGAAATATTAATAGTTGCCACCTCTTCTTTCTAAATCTAGACTAACGCTCACTTGAATAAATTCTCCGGGAATAAAAACATAACAAGTGTTTGGTTAAATGTTAATAAAAACACAAAGAGAATAGGATCAGGGAGACAACTACGAATTGCTATCTGATTACACTGAGGTTGGAGTTGTGTCGACTTTGTATAGTGGTACGTATTAACGGTGGAACTTGGTTACAAGAGGACGGAAACAAGCATTGATCAGCGAGGCCGGGTACATGCTGTAATCAAGTCCATTACATTTACATGAATCAAACACTATCGTATATCTATACATCTATATGTCCAGAACCTGACATAGAAACATTGTGCAAGATGTTTCTTCCCATGCTAAGGTTGAAATCTAGGTGAATCTCACAAGAGCAGCCCGGCTCTAAGGGAGGGGCAGCCAGTGCGACCGCCGGGAGCCCATGACCATATAGGTAATTAGCACATATAATTTTCTATCTGGCATAAGCTTTTGAAAGCTCATCGTAGATAAGCCCATGTCGTACGTAACTCTTCCATTGTTTCTATAGATCTAGAAGGTAGCGTGTTCATATGTTGCTACACGGACAACTAAACTTTGGTAATAGAAACACAAGGATCACACGATAAGTGACATTTAATTCAAAAGTCAAAGTTCGTGAAATTAACAGTCACGGAGAGCGCGACGTCGTAAGCTCACAAATTCTATTGTATAGAGCTTTTCATGATGCGGCTAAGATAATATTTTATATCGTTAGGAAGAAATCTCCGATATCCATTTCTTTCGTGCGCCAATAAATCCATGAATAAGTTCTCGCCCCATCTCCGTACCATCCAGGTTCTAGTATATATGTAAATATTAGTGCCTGTCACATAGATAGTACTACGTGTCTTGAAAAATCTCTCACAAAATCTCCATACCAAGGTTCGAGTATATATGTAAATATTAGCGTCGTATGGCGGCGGCACAGCCTCCCCACGTCGGACGGCGGCGGCGGCGCTAGGGTTGAGCGGCGCGGCCTTCCCACGTCGGACGGCGGCGGCGGTGGAGCTGGAGTCGAGCGGCGCGGCGTCACAGCATTGAACGGCGGTGGCGCTGTGACCTGGGAGCGATGCTTCAACTAACGTAGCGCCTAACGTTTAAGTAATAAGGTCTACCTAAGAAAATATATGTAATACATATTTCTAAAAATAAACCATCCTCCTCCATAATCGTACTTTTAAAACCCCCATTCTTACCTCATATTTGCAATACTTGGCACAATCATGAATTTATAATCCATTTGACCAAAACTTAATTACACTAGCACAAATTGGTATTAGTACCCATTCATTGTATTATGCACCAAGCATCTTCAATGGTCTATGTTTTGCCAAGCATATAAGGGGCTGCATCAACCAATTTCTCACATCTGAAAATCATGATGAGTATCATCAGCCCTGTATCGATAATGGAATGCATACTTGATGCTTGTAGGACAAGAGAAAGGAAATGCAAATTTCTCTGGACACGGAGCCATTTTTGTAGCATAGCATTACCATATATACCATCAGATTCAATAAGGTTAGGGAACACATGCCCTTCAAGGCTTAGTTTAGCTTATGCTATTATCCCAACAACTTACAAAAAAAAATAGAGGACGAATTACATACAACCATCAGGTAAATATGCCAAGTAACCAAATAAATTTTGAGCCTGTCTTCTCAACTTCCTGTGTTGCTAGTACCAAGGATAGTTTCAAACTTTCGGTGCTATATATGTTACCAGTGAGAGGTACTCCATCTTCCTGAAGCTCCTCAGCGTCAGTCCCCTGCTGTGTCGCTAGAATGCTACTCAAGATGACCTGCTGCTCAACCTGGAAAAAGGAGAACGTATCAACGAAACTGATCTGCACATATCAGAAAGAACACATCTTTCTGATGAAGACAGTAGTCTAGCACAAGAAACTATTTCAATATTTCATATTTTCATGATTCCATCAAATCCTACAAGGGCATAAATTCCAACTAAGAAATGTGCTGATTCTTCAGACTTAGTAACAAGTGACATACCTCAGTTTTGTAAAACCAACAATTGGGATGGCAAGTTCGCGAAGCCACTGTTTCGGCTAGCAAAAATCCAATTTTCTCCTTAAACAAAGCAGAGAGAAGGCTTGTTTGTCAAAAGCAAACTTTAAACCAAGTTCCAAAATATAACTTACAGATAAATTAGTTTGCACCAAATCTAAGTATATACCTACAGCTACGGGAGCAAGTTTCTAATATCTATCTTTTAATGAGTAATGATACCACGATGTCACCAACCCTGGAGAGCTCAAGATCTGTTAACATATAACCATCACTTATGCAAAATATATATGGAAAAAATAAATCATACAGAAGTATGAATGATGTACTTAATTAGATATCCAATTTATTGGTACTTACAAATCGGTGTCATTTAGATCCTTGATTAATTTCCAAAGCCTTGTATCAAAATTTGATATGTCAGCTAGCTTAACTGCAATTGAGACACATTAATGTTTGCCATTTGCATAAAATAGAGTAGGGATAAGGGCATGTGAAAAGGTAGATACTAATTGCAGTAAAGAAAAGCCAGATATTGAATCAGTAGAACATATAAGAATCATAATATTAGTACATTCTTCTCGGCGCTGTAGTAATCATAGAACATCTTCTCGGTGTTGTAATAAACCAGCAGTCACTATCTTGACTGAATTTAATAACCAGCAGTGACTATCTTGACTGAATTTAATAAACCAGCAGTATGAGTTTGATAGCTACTACTCCAAGGCCCTGCAAATGGTATTATATCAAAGAAAGTTAACCTTCAAAACTAACAAATATGCATTAAGGGGGGAAACACAAAATCTCTCTGTTAAAACTGGCAAAAAAATAGTTTGAGACACATGTATATACAGGCTTTAGAAATAGGTTTTCTTTCACTTTGCTGGCAAACTAGTGCAGCTAATAAAAAAATAGATCCGCAAGGTCCCTAGCTCCAACATGGTCTGCATGGAAACAATGCAGTTATGCTAACAACAACACCTAGTAAGCATGACCTGCCAGCGCATACAACCATAGGCAAACTCTGAACGTGTCTGAACTTATCCAGTCTAGGGATTCAGCATGTATGAGATGCAAGAATTCAAGATAAAACTTATTTTTCTTTTTTTCACTTTAGTAAGGTTCCATGTCGGCAACTGGAAAATATGATCATAAGAGAAAAACCAAAGTAGCTAATTAAGCATTGACTCTGATGGCACTTGTGCACGCAGGCAATGAAGATGTTTGGTTTGTTGGGCACTGTATTAAAAACTGTAGTGGTCGATTATACAGGAATAAAGCATTGAACAGTGCAAGTGAATCGTTAAATGGAAAGAGAACTTATTAGGACACAAAACTGACTTATTAAGACATAAAACTGGCAATCACTTTAACCATATTTGGGTTCACAGC